TATTATTTCATATTCTTAAATGTATATTATATATTTCACGTTCTACGATGCATTCCACGTTTGACACACTGTCTTATTTAATTTTCTGTCATTCTATTTGTTAAATCCTATCCAATTTACGTCACAGCGTCAAGGAGCAGTAAATGTGTGCAGTGAACGGGAGGCATATGTCTAACAGTGAATGTTGGAACTTTTTCGCGTTTATCATATGTACAGTAGTTGACTAAAAGTAGACGTATGCAAATCATATGCTATTCGCTAAATTCTGTCACGTAATATGCCATAGACCTCTGTGGGTTATTACGTTTTATTGCTGCCAGTTTACCGTGATATTACATGCCGCCATGTTTACTTTGTCTCCACCATCGTATTATCTCCATTAAATCTTATCATTTAGGCTCCATATGTCATGATTAGACCTATAGGACAGGAGATACATAACTAAGGCTCTTTTGACATAGCATATATAGGAGCAAATATTTATACCTAAGGTCTTTTTGACGTGTTGCTGTATTTGATCTACGTCGTAGCATTCTATTGGTTAAATGATATCATTTGAGGTACTGTATGTCACGATTGGACTAATAGGATAGAAGATACATAACTAGGCCCTTTCACGATTGGACTAACAGGACCGCGGATGCATAACTAAGGCCCTTTTGACAGGCTGATGTATGCTGTATTTTATTTTTCTGTCTCATAGTATTTGATTGGTTAAATCCTATCATTTGAGGTACTGTACGTCACGATTGTGCCACTACAAACGAAGATATGTAAATAGGGCCCTTTTGACATGTTGCTGTATTTGATTTCTAAGTCATTGTATTCTATTAGTTAAGTGCTACCATTTGCTATATCGTACGTGACGATTGGACTAATAGGACCGAAGATACATAACTAAGGCCCTTTTGACATGCTACTCCATTTAATTTTTATACCTTATTGTATTTTATTAGCTAAAACCTTTCATTTGAGGTGCTGCACGTCATGATTAGAATAATAGACCCGAAGATACACAACTAAGGCCCTTTTGGCATGTTGCTGTATCCGATTTTTCTATTTCATTGTTTTCCATTGGTTAAATCCTATCATTTGAGATACTGTACGTCACGATTGGACTTATAGAAACGAAGATATATAACTAAGGCCTTTTTGACATGCTGCTGTATTTGATTTTTCTGTCTTATTGTATTTTATTGGTTAAATCCTATCATTTGAGATACTGTACGTCACGACTGGACCAATTGGAGCGAAGATACATGATGCCAGAATGATTTATGGATGAAAAAAATATATATATTTTTAAATTTACTATTTCGTTGTATGTAATATTATATTCAACAGCGATGCCAAATTTCTGATGCTAAATGATTGATAATGAAAGTTGGATATACATTTTTATGTATATAATGACATCGAGTAAACGGTAAAACCCTGAACTAAATATATATAATATTTTCACCGTACCATCATTTTAGACTCAAACATTTTCTGGAATAAACTTATATAACTCAGTAAGGGATAAAAAGAGAAAGCCGATATTTTAAAATACCAACACGGTATCAAATCTCTAATCAGTGAGATGGTTTAAAATTCTTGTAACAAGTACAGAAAAAAAGTTACATAGGTGTTGTAAAGTAGCGTCGATATACAGATGCTACTTTGCAAGACGATGCTAAATTGATGGTAAAAGCATAATGTATCGATGCCAAAATGATAGTAGGATGTATATATATATATATATATATATATTATATATATATATATATATATATATATATATATACAGATTGAACGAAATAAATTCGGAACATAGGAAACATCATGTATTTCGGCTCATTTCTGCTGTAGGAGGTTGGCCAGCAAAAGGTTGTCAAATAATTATATTATAAAAACCCAATATTTCTGCGGGCTGCTGGATTCTGAACTCATAAAAATTGAAAGCTACACATAAATCTACGATTTTATTATGCTGTCAAACCACTTATAGCCCAGGAAATGAAGCATTTCACCTCGTTATTTTTTCGTCCTGCGTGGATTAACTTGAAATTTTAAAAGAAGGTAGGTAATAGCCTAAGGATCAAAATCTATATCGAACCAAAGTGCGCCAAAGCCTTGAGGGTGGTTGCTACCCATCCCGGGGGTGAAATTTTTTTTTTACGTTTTAACTACAGGTTTCGATTAAAAAAGTGATTATAAACAAAAAATGTTCTATACATTTTGTTTGTAAAACTAATATTTTTTCGCGATTGAAAGTAACAACTTTTAGACGAAAAAAATCGACGTTTTTAATCGATTTTTCGCGAATAACTCGAAAATGGTGCATTTTATCAAAAAATTGTAGAGAACAAATTTGTAGTTTTTAAAAAGACAAATACAATTCATTTTTTAAAATGTTTTTGCGATATATTAGGAACCGAAATACGGCCTATCAATGTTCAGCGATTTTCTTCAAATGCCAAATTTGAAAGATTCAAAGTCAAATATCGGGAAAATGATGCATTTTTGAAAGAAAACTCACGCAACCTTTTTTAAGGAGCATAAATAGATCTATCATAAAAAAAAAAGACTCTAGCTCAAAAGTTGAGTGAGTTATGATGAAAATAAGGCCAATACCTCATTTTTTTTACAAAAAAATCGATGAAAACAACCCCTAACCACTCCCATAATTAAAATCGATCTTAATCCTTCTGCAATTCTCTTTGTACATGTATTGTTAATACGTCCAAGAAATTTGACCCATTTAAAATGCTTAGCTTTAGAAAAAGTACAGCTTAAAGCGAGAAACGATTTACAATTTCATATTTTTTACCCTTCTTTTTTTAAATATCCCCGAAAATACTAAATATATGAAAGAAATAAAAATGTACTAAATTGTATCTTTTTTAATGACTAAAATTTTTCCATATTTTAATTTGTTATACAATGAATATTTGGCGAGATATAGCCGTTTAAAGCAACGATTTACGATCAAGCACCATCTTTTACGACCCTTTAAACTCACCCCATTTAAAAACCAAGGGTTTCAAAGAGATTTAATTCACAGATCCTTGTAGCTCTTAAAAACCTCTACAAATCGTTTTTGGGGAAACACTCTATCATTAAAAATGAAGGAAATACGTTAAAAACCAATTAATTTTTTTTCCGGAAAATTCCATTAGTATAGTACAGTACATTTTGGAGCCTAATAATCTACAAAAACCGGTATATTAGGTAGTGGGGCGTTATACATTCAAAATTTTCAGCGTTCTTATTTTGAAATCCCATACAACAAAATAAAACATTTGCTCATATGTTTATGGCTTGGCAATGAAAATATCAAAGCAACAGACTGGGGATGGTATTCCAAAGATGGTTTGTTATTACCCGTACGCATGAACAAACAACCTGCACCCGATCAACTTTTAAAAATTATTTTTTGCCAATGCAAAAAAGGATGCGGCGTTTCATATGGGTACAGAAAAGTTGGTTTATACTGTAACTTTACTTGTTCTGGGTGCTCAGGTGAAGGGTGCAATAATAGTCCACCAATAATTGAAGAAGATGAGGATGACATAGATCACGATGAAGATGTAATTGATGACGAATAAAATTAATATTATAATTGTTTTACCTATAAATGTAAATATTTTCAAACTATTTATGTAAATGTATAAGAATATATGGTGCCTTTTTATGTTGATAAATTTTTTTGTATTTAATTCTACTTTTTTCAATTTATATCTATTAAATTAGTTTATAAACTGCACCCTTTACAACTGCAATGTTTTAAAGGGTGATTTTCAAATGTTGAAAAGTTGCAAAATTTTGGCAAAAAATTGTTTTTACCTATAGCACTCATAACAATTGATTTTTAAGGGTTGAAAATGTATGAAATTGTATTTTAAAGTATAAAAAAATCACTATTTAACTAATCCAAACCAAATTTCACTCATCTTAAGATTTGTAATGTTATTTTACAATTTTTGAAAATTAGGGGTAGTTTTCACGCCTAAGAACAATCAGGGTTCATCGGCATGACATAAACTATAAAGCAGAGGGTGAGTTAAGCTTAATTCCAATTTTTTATGCAAATCATTCCAAGGCGAAATCATTTTCTTCGCATTACTAATTGTTTTACATTAATCTCTACCAAGGGTCGCTTTTTAAGGGTTGAAATATGATGGAACTTTATTCAAAAGTACGAAACTATCATGATTTAATTAATTCAAACCAAATTTTACCCATATTCAGGTTTAATATGTTATTTTATAATTTTTGACAATTAGGGCTAGTTTTCACCCATAAGAACAATCAGGGTTCGTCTACATGACATAAACTACAAAGCAGCGGGTGAATTGAGCTTAAATCCAAATTTTTATCCAAATCGATGCAAGGCGAAATCATTCTTTTAGAATTAGTAATTTTTTTACATTAATCTCTAACAAGGGTTGCTTTTTAAGGGTTGAAATATGATGGAACTCTATTCAAAACTATAAAATAATCATTATTTAACTTATTCAAACCAAATCTTACCCATATCCAGGTTTAATATGTTATTTTATAATTTTTGACAATTAGGGGTAGTTTTCACTCCTAAAACCATTCAGCGCACTTCGGTTCGATATAGATTTTGATCCTTGGGCTATCACCTACCTTCTGTTAAAATTTCAACTCAATTCATGCAGGACGAAAAAATTGCGAGGTTTTAACTTTTTTCGAGCTTCAATTTGCAACAATGTTACACAGACAACATTGTTGCGAGACAGATAGTTGAACGATATTTTATACAATGTCTATGCCCAGGTATGTATTTATTTTTGTCCAAGTTTTATATTGGTCCACTATTTCAAATGCAGTTCAAACAGACATATATTAAATTGTATGTTCCGTTTTAAATTCGTTCTATCTGTATATCAATGTCAGTTATACGCTTTTGTTATTATACATTTTTATTGTATTTGAAAACTTCGGGTTGATTGGTAGAAAATAAAAAAAAAAGTAAGAAATATATTACTTACATCATCCACCGTCGTTATAACAAGCATATTTTTGAACAAAAATAATATTCCTTTACTTTGAATTGGCTCTAAAATTGTAAGTAACTGTTTTTTCTCAAATGATCCAAGGTCTATATTATTTATTGGAAAATTTGTAATCAACTGGCTAATTTCAAATTCGTTTTCCTTTGTTAGCCAATCTTTTTCGACAATTGGTGTTGTTATATTTGTATCATTTGATGCTTCTTCCATTTCCTATAAAATATAAGTATTTTATAAATCTTCAATAAAAAGATATAAACTTGTATAAACGATATAATTTGAAATGAAACGAAACTATAAATAAAATGAAACTATAAATAACATTCGTTAAGCTGACGAAACAATCGTTATTGTTGAAAATGAGAGAGACCTACAGACGGTATTAAACACAATTTGCGATATTGGGGAATAGTTTATTTGAACAATAAACATAAAGAAAACAAAAATCATGGTTATTAGTAAGGGGGTAAAGTCCGAACATTAGTCCTGGTAAAGACTAAAGATATTAATCAAGTAGACAAATTGGAATACTATAATTTGGTTAACTTAATTATATTAATTATAAACAGATGGTAACTATTAATAAATTATGTCGGTCAATTTGTCCTTTAAAAATTTGTCATTTATGTAAGAAGAAATTAATATTTTATTAATACAGACATTATTATTAAAAAAATAAATAAAAAATATATAACTATCACCGCTTGTATAAACGAATATACTCACATTTGTTACATGTAAGTCGTTAATTTCTTTAAAGCTAGTTTTCCTTTCGACATTTCTACTTGGAGTTGGCGTGAGATTTTCCAAGTGTCCATATTCTAAAAATAAAAAATAATTGGCACAAAACCCTAATCTAAAAATTAATTACGGACTGTTTTAATTATAAGGGTACTTCTTTTTGTCCTTTGTGATTTTTAAGTGAATATGCAAAAGCTGAAACCTTCTGAATATGTTTCACAAATGATCATTATCTCTCCTGCTGTCACCCACTATGTAGCTTCTTCAAATTAAAATTTTTTTAAAGTGTTTCCTGTCTAGTGTTGTGTAAATGTTATATTTAATGTTTCTGACATTCACAAAAATGTTGGATTGCCTATAATATTGACGAATGTCCCTGAAGATGCTATAGAAGCGAAAGTACTTGGGCAAGTTTTAATAAAAAACTGTCCTTGATATCTGCCTTTTTTTATTAAAAAACTTTTAATACTATTTAATAACTATTAATAATTTTAAACTTACCAGCTTCCTGATCTTCTTGGGAATCCAAATTATTTTCGATAGATTTTCGGGGAATTGATAAGGGCGGTATTACTGAGCTAGCTAAAATGTAAAAATGTTTTAGTTATCAAATTTTAAAATTGACAAGAAAATTTTACGCTTATATAAATTTTCCTATTTATTTATGCAAGTTAACTAGTATAGTACATTTGCTTCTAGCATATATTAAAAGGTTTTATTGGTGGTACCTAATATTTAACCTGTGCGATTATGTGTTCAATCACAAATTAACCCCTTAATTTGTAATCTCACATTATTCTTAACTTCTTAATCTTTTATAGTTTAACCGTGTATAAGTGAGGCATTGTAAAACCATATCGTGTAATATTTTAAAAATTAGTTCATTTACCTACAACTAAATAAATTGCCGAATAATATATTTTCTAATTGAATTTCCTAAGTGTCGCAATTAAGGCCTAGATTAAATTGTAATGTAAGCAGATAATTCAAAGTTTGTTGGTATGCTATTGTTTGGAAAAGTGTCAAGTAATTTAAATATTTTATTTTTATTATTACGAGTATGACCTTATTTAGTTTTAAAATTTATTTAATCATAATATATTACCTAATTGCAATATGGCTTTAGTTTATTTTTAAATTCTCAAACTAAATTGGCTGATTAATTATTGTCAAGTTCTGAGAATTCACTTGTCTAAAATTCAACATGTTTTTGGGAAACATATATCAACCCAAAACACTTCAGATTTCTATCCGCCTTTGTGTAGCAAGTAAAGAATGTCACTTTAAGTTTAATTTACGGCTATTCACGGAGGTCTCTAAAAACAGTACCCTCTAGTCGATTTGGGGTAATAGATACGTGCCCCTTTGCATATGATCGACCACTCTTCAAAAAACTCTGGTCCTGTACGGAAGCAAGCGACAAGCAGATCACCACAGCAGTGTATCTCACGCCAACCCCAGCCGGGCCGACCATAGACAAAAAAAGGTAAGTGAATCTCATATAGAATTGACAATAAGATATAAAATCTGCCAATTGTTATTTGAATTCATTTTATTTTACATATATTTGCTACAAATATTCGCTATTTTCGCTAATCTTATATACAATCTAACATTGCATTTTTTCGTTAAAAATTATTTATCCAATACAATTTAACCAGCGATCTCTCAAGTTTAATCATTAAACATTTGGTCCTATGCCATTTCTCGTTAAAGGTTCGCTAGTCCTCATAAAAAATGAACAACAGCCTCCTCTTCGCTGGCAGTTGGCCAGAATCATTGAGTTGCATTATGGCACCGACGGTATTGCACGGGTTGTTACTCTGAGGACAGCTTCAGATGGCATCCTACAACGTCCGGTGGTCAAGATCTGTCCACTACCTATTTGTTAACAACTATATCTTTCTTCATTTCTATTATTATTATAATTTAGTGTTCGTTTTTATTCTTATTATTGTAGTTGATTCTTAAAAAAAAACATTCGTTTTGGGGCGGAGAATGTTTGGAAAAGTGTCAAGTAATTTAAATATTTTATTTTTATTATTACGAGTATGACCTTATTTAGTTTTAAAATTTATTTAATCATAATATATTACTAATTGCAATATGGCTTTAGTTTATTTTTAAATTCTCAAACTAAATTGGCTGATTAATTATTGTCAAGTTCTGAGAATTCACTTGTCTAAAATTCAACATGTTTTTGGGAAACATATATCAACCCAAAACACTTCAGATTTCTATCCGCCTTTGTGTAGCAAGTAAAGAATGTCACTTTAAGTTTAATTTACGGCTATTCACGGAGGTCTCTAAAAACAGTACCCTCTAGTCGATTTGGGGTAATAGATACGTGCCCCTTTGCATATGATCGACCACTCTTCAAAAAAACTCTGGTCCTGTACGGAAGCAAGCGACAAGCAGTCACCACAGCAGTGTATCTCACGCCAACCCCAGCCGGGCCGACCATAGACCAAAAAAAAGGTAAGTGAATCTCATATAGAATTGACAATAAGATATAAAATCTGCCAATTGTTATTTGAATTCATTTTATTTTACATATATTTGCTACAAATATTCGCTATTTTCGCTAATCTTATATACAATCTAATATTGCATTTTTTCGTTAAAAATTATTTATCCAATACAATTTAACCAGCGATCTCTCAAGTTTAATCATTAAACAGCTATAATAGAAAGCAATAACCTCTGTGCTGAGGTATGAATTATTTGTTAGATTATAAATTGAGGATTTGAGCTCATTTGAGCACAGTTTATTACCAGTAGTTACCTAACGAACATCATATTGTGTAATTACCAGTAGCTGTCAATAAATCAACATTTTATGCATAACTTTAACCTTTTATTATATTTATCATCGTCGATCGACAAGAAGCGGACAAAGGGTCATTTACAAACCGATTCGAACCTCAAAACTACGTTCAAAAATTTCCATTGGTCCTTCGTCAAAACATCATCAAAAGGGCGTTAATTGGTTTGGAGCTTCGAAGGAGACAACCCTTATCGACCTAAATAGCAGTTTCCCAGTTCTTAACAAGATCAATGATCGAATTCGAAGTGTGGAGAAGAGAAAAAAGAAATAAAAAAGACCAGAAAGCACCGAAATTAGGGGTAGGAGCCTTACGAGAGCATTCGATCACCAGAGAACCTGAATGGCAGTCCTTAAGTCTACTAGTTTGGAGGTCCAGTTTCCAGCAGAAAAATCTAGCAGTATCCAGAGATCCAGCTCACCAGTTCCAGTTGCAGTTCTAAGAAGGAAGTAGGGACATACAAGTGAACGTCGGGATAAAACTGTAAGTTTTTGAATATTTATTATCATTTAGAGCAGTGCTTTTTTTATAAATTAAAGATTATTAAAGAAACTTAATAGTCAAATTTAATAACACTTAATTGAGATATTTTTATTCTGCATACTTTTTTACTTAAAATAGTAATAGTTTGTCTACAGCTAATTCAAATCTAATAGCTTAATTATTTTGATATTAATTATATTCAATAATTTTGATTCCTATAATTTAAAATTCTTAAAACATTTGATTTTCATAATATAGTGAAATATCGTAACAAATCATTATTTTTATACACATTTACAGTTCATTTAATTCCAACTCAGTTGTGGAGAATATCGCGTTCTGACATGAACTTTCACTCGCCCGGTATCCGACACTTTAAACGAACAAATTTCCCGGCGAAAAAAACAATCGCACGTTTCACCGTACCGGAATCGCCTATCGTCGCGACAGTTCCCCGTCGTATTACTGACTTACTGGACGCTCCCGCCTCCGACCCGGAGCCGGCAATTACTGCCTTGAGCGCTCCCTCGATACCTCGACTGTTGACCAATTTTTTAGTTTTTATGTCCCGCGAACATTCCTAGTTTTTTCTGCTGATTCAGCTGTACACATGCGATGGTGTGTAGCTTCATTGTATTATTCCCACGAAGGTCTTCAGATTTCGTAATTTTTAAACATTTGGGCTTGTGTCAAACTAGATCAAATTGTTATTCTTTGTATAATTTAAAATGTATACGTTAACTGTATCGAATTTATTCTTTATTTAATTTAGAATATATAATAATTATTTAAATGATTATTACTCCTCCCTATGTTACAAGCCCTTATTTTTTCTATTCTTTATTTTCTTGCTATGTTTACATTACATAGGCCAAATCAATTACGATTATTCAGAAAGGTGGAATTTAATCCAAAAGTGAAAAAGATTTTTACATTGTATATCAGACATATTATAACAAAAAGCGGTAGTATGTTCGTGCAAGATGTGGAGAAGAAGCGCATTTTCTATATCCTCGTTTTCTTCTACATCAATAAAGGCACCTACATTTATTATTGCGTCATCTCCAAAATTAAAAATTGTTAAAAAAATATTTATTATTTATTTTGAATATCAAAAATAGGGTTAAATGACAAGGATAACTGTGTCACTGATAACTAGTTTATTACTAATTCGATGAGGGCAACACCATCGTTACGTTACGTGCAGAGCTTTAACTCTCAATTTAACGTTCATCTTCTTCGATACGTTAGTTCTTTACGTATAGGGAGATACGTTACGTTAGGTAGTTACAAAAACTCCCTAATATTACATTTTTTAATTTGTACAATAAGCCGTGTCAGCAAGGTTAGCAAAGTTCATTGTGTTGTTGCGTAAGGTACTCTTCTGAGACTTTAAAAGTTGAATCTAGGTCAAACTTATATGTATATAAGTGCACGAAAGTGTACGAAATGCATAGACAAGAAAAACTAGGTCAAAAAATTAAATAAAGTTTTTAAATAATTTACGAAATTAAGAAAAGGAAGAGCAATGGTGCAGTAGATGCCTACTACACATAAAGGAAGTACCATGTTATTCCTCTTATAGATGTGCAGAATGTAGTGGGCAACACCATTCATTACTACACATGTCAGATGGTCAGTATGATAACAGAAGGAGTTCTGAAAACAGAAGGCCACAAAATAGAATAAATTTTAGTGGGTGCCACTATGAAACCAGAAGGATTTCTGAAAACAGGCCACAAAATAGAATAAATTTTAGTGGGTGCTAGTATGATAATTGAAGGATTTCTGAAAACAGAAGGCCACAAAATAGAGTTAGAAGAAGTAGATCAAAGCAATACTCTTTCAGTAGAAGAAAAGAGTATGAAGAATATTATAAAAGAACAGTAAAACGGGACAACGAAGGAAGATTTGAAGTTAAAATGCCTTTTATTGTAATACAAGCCTATTAGGGGGACTCAGTACAGCAAGCATATGCAAGACTTCTGCAATTAAGAGAAGACATTTTAAAGAGACACAAACGTAGAAAAAGAAAGAGGTAGTATTGTGCCGCTCGTTGTTGGTCCCAAGGAAGCCTACTAGCAGTAGATTACAATATCTTACACAAATTTTTTAAGTGACATATGAAAATAAAGGAAGGTAGTCAGATATATTCGAAACTCCAAGAGAGCCAGAAAACAAAGGCGTCAAGGTTTCGTATTCAACCTCATCCAGCGCCTCGAAGACATACGGTATCACAACCAAATTTAAGTTGTACTTTAAAGAAAGCCCCTCCTAGATCAGTTTCACTTAACGAGCTTAGATTTGAATTAGGTAGTTTAGCTGAAACATAAATTCTAAAAAATCAAGTTATAGGTAGCACTGCTCGGGTGAGATAAAAATTCAAAAACCGTGTAAATCAGTGGTTATGATTATTGTTATAATTAATATTTTATATTTTATATGTGTTTAAATATTTTTCTATTGTTGTTGTTTGTTTTTTTATATAGGCCAATATGTTCAATCACAAATTAACCTCTTAAATTGTAATCTCACATTATACTTGACTTCTTAATCTTTTATAGTTTCACCGTGTATAAGTGAGTCCTTGTAAAACTATATCGTAATTATTTTTAATAATTAGTTCATTTACCTACAACTAAATAAAATTGCCGAATAATATATTTTCTAATTGAACTTTCTAAGTGTTGCAATTAAGGCCTGGATTAAATTGTAATGTAAGCAGATAGTTCAAAGTTCGTTGGAATGCTATGATAGAAAGCAATAACCTCTATGCTGAAGTATGAATTATTTGTGAGATTAAAGTAAGGGAATTGAGCTTATTTGAGCATAGTTTATTACAGTAGTTTACCTAACGAACATCATATTGTGTAATTACCAGTAGCTGTGAATAAATCAACATTTTCTGCATAAACTTCAACCTTTTATTATATTTATTATCGTCGATCGACAAGAAGCGGACAAAGGGGCATTTACAAACGATTCGAAACCTCAAAACTACGTTCGAACCTTTCCATTAGGGTTCCAATTTTCGTTATGTTCAGTAATTGTTATATAATCGATCTAATTTCTTATGATCTTATCTTTAGTATCTGCTGGTGAATTGCAAGTTTACAAACGACGTTTAGAGAGGACAGAAATAATGTTTTTTAAGCAGAATTCTACAAACTGATTATACTGTCATTAGGGTCAAGTAAAAAATTGCTAACAATGTTTTCTTGTCTATCTTTTCCTACTTTGGTGTTGTTTTCCAATATTTTTGTGATGTTTTTATTTTTAAAATGCCTCATTAATCTCTTTATGTCATCATAAAATCTCTCTGTCATCTTCATTACTGCTAGCTGTGGGAGTATAAACTAGTGGGACAAGATTAATATCCACTGGTTTTGAGTTTAATTGTATTATACTTGGCACCTTCGGAGATCGAACTGAGTAGAGATTCAAAAATACAACTAGGGGCTTCGTTTATGTATTGTAATAACTTATTTGTGCTCATAACTCCACTGCATGACATATATAAATACAAACGGCCAGCGGTATAGAAGTTTTGCTTCAAAAAACTTTGAGAGCTTATCACTTTAAACACTTTCAAAGTTCGTTGCATTTTTGAATAGGGATTAAAAGGTTTATTTTCACTCACCGTGGGTTAACTGAAATCTCTTAAGTTTTGTCAAAAGAAACTATAGGAGCTATTTAAAACTGCAAGATATCTGACCACAAACGGCATGCATTAACAATAAGAACAAAACTTCTCACGCTCTGCCGTTACTTAACAAAAAACAATTAAAACCTTTGTTTCTAAAGCGCGTAATTATATACCTGATCTATATATCTATTATATATATATATTTATTTTATATAGTACTATATATAATATATGTTCCGGTAATTTTCGAGTCACTTGTAATTGATTTTAACAATTATTATTTCTGATGTCTATAAATACTTAACTAGCATCATCTTATCAATCTTTTTCAAAGAAATTCCATTCATTCCAACTAAACTGCAAAAAACTTACAAAATAATAAATTTACTTATTCGGAAATCAACTTCGCTGTATCCTTTTTTGGAGAAAATCCAGAAATTATACTTGTAAAACCAACAGGAACCAAAAGCAAACAAAAATTAATAACAAAAATCAGGAATAAATAATGTAGAAACAGGGTTTGTACTGAACAATGAAGAATATTTTAACATGACGCTTCTCTAGCATTTTCTTGTCCAGGTTTAGCTTTAGGTTTTTACTACATATTATCTCTATCTCTATATTATCTCTAGATTACTAAAATATGCGAATATTGTAGTAAGTTTGTAACATTTATACGTTCAAAATTTTAATTAAAAATCAGATTTTTTTCCTTTTTCGTTCTCTTTTATTAGCCTGGGTGGAACTGGTGGCAAAGTCATAAGGTTCATAGGAACTGCAACTAAAATGTCTGTATTAACATGTATAATTATACTTTTGATTCAATATATCCCCACCAAACAAAACTAGCGGACCAAAGTCTGGCGACTTAGTTGGCCATTCTATTAAGCCCCTATTCCAAATCCGTTGACTTGAAAATATGTCGTTCAAATAATTACGGTTGTTATAATTTAGAAATGGCGCGATAAATTCTGATACTATCAGCTGTATCAGAAGTCTAATTATTTTGCACCAGTGACATAATACTAGGACAGATGGAACTCATTTTTAAAATATATTGTGTTATTTACGTAAGTTCTTACCTTCTTTTATTTTTTCATCGTCCTTTTTCAATCTAGGTGGAATTGGAGGTTGATTCATATAAATATCTTCTTCTATTTTTGCGCCATCGTTTATGAATCTGCGAGGAACTGGTGGTAGGTTCATATAATTCATCGAAACTAAAATAAATATTTATACAGTGAGGGCGTAAAGGTTTGCATAAATTCAATATTTTGTACTTAAAAATATTTTGACGAAATCCTTGTACAGGTTGATTTATATTTTGGATTGTGTATCGGCTTGTATAATTCGAAATACTGATGATTTTTATGATATCATCGATATTTTTTCAATAGGAACCATAAACTTCTTTTATTTCGGTTTTGAATTTTGCTTTAAAAAACGATTCTTATAACTTTAATATATCTTTTAAGGACAGTTTTATAGAACAGAAAGCTGTCACAACGTCAGATAGCTTAACAGTACCAGGTAGCGCAAGAAACAGTAAGCAATATCAAGAAGAAATTAATACCAACTAATCCCTGACTCACAAAGGTGCCCAAAAATTTGGTTTAATAGCATATCACTACACCTAGAGACGAGAGGAAAGAAATCACGAAAAATCCGCACGGAACTTATTCGTGAAGCTGGGATGCCAGTTTCTGACATGAAATTCCGCGGCTGTGCTTGCTAGGCAAGATTTTTAATTATGTCGCCCTGCCAAAAAAAAACAAAGTTTACCATCGCAATGATAAAAAAGAGACTGCAATGGGCCAAGACCAAAAATTGGTTAATTAATGCATTCAGAATAATACATCAGTACTAAAGCTTAAATCCCATAACCACTGTTTTTTATTCCAGAAACAATATAGTATTTCTCTTATTCACAGGTTTGTTTCTCCAATGGGCCTATAGTTTTAATACTCGTGGACAAAGAGACCTTCGCCGGAAGACGGGTGGGTAAAAATGTCACACTCTGGTCTGTGATCAGCAGCAAGGGCACAGGAAGGCTGTACATTGAATTTATGTATATTGAATGCTGTATATTGAAGTAATGGAAAAAGGCTTATGCCACAAATTAAACATCGATTAAGCGAAGATATTACCTTTATGCAAGATTCAGCACCGTACCATAAAGCAAAAACAGTAACATTGTACTTGAAAAAAAAGAAATGAAAATTAAACTAATAAAGTGCTTAGGTAATACCTTAGACCTCAACCCGATCGAAAATGTATGAGAGCTCATGAAGGGGGGATTGCTCAAGAAATTGTGATAAATTAGTAGCAGGTAATTGAGAGACGCATTGCTACCTGAGACAGAGGTGAAAGAATAAAAAAAGACTGCTTGAAGAACATCCAAAGCATGCCAAGAAGGATCTAAGGCTATCATCGAAGCTAAAGAAGATCATACGAATTATTATTTCGAAGAAAAAATATGTCAAAATTTTGTAAAAGAACGTTGGTTTTTCATGATATATTTTTATATTATCTCATATTCATTAGATATTTATACGCAGTTTTATTATTTATTAAACAGCAAAATACTAAGTTTTTTGCAGTGATCATAATAATTTGATCACCCACTGTAAATATATGTTCAAAGAAAGTACAAAAACGGTCTTTGAGTCTCCTTCCAAGCAGATCTTCATAGTTTCAAGAATTAGATAATGAGATAACTAAAATCCCTAGTAACCAAAAATAATGTTATCGGTAGATACAGGAACATAAAATAAAAACACAGGACAAGGAATTATGGAATTCTGAAATCAAGAAACTGCTGTCTTCTAAGACTCCTAAGACTTTTTAAAAAATTACTTTTCTAAAAGTAATCACTGTTAAAAGCCAAGTAAAACCCATAGTGACCTTGTGAACTATGAACTCTGCTGAAGAAAGATGAAGATGACCTAAACCATTTCGAAAAAAAGTGTTAAAAAAACTTATTTGATATTGTTGGGAGCAGCATGGCATATCTTCTTCTTTAAGTGCCATCTCCGCGGACGAAGGTTGGCAATCATCATGGCTATTCTGACCTTCGAGGCAGCTGCTCTGAACAATTGTCTTGAGCTGAAACCAAACCACTCTCTCAGATTCTTCAACCAGAAAACGCGTCTTCTTCCTACGCTTCTCCTACCCTCTATTTTTCCTTGAATTATGATTCTCAATATGTTGAATCTTTCGCCTCTCATTATATGTCCAAGATATTGCAATTTTCTTTCTTTTATTGTATTTTCCATTTGCCTCTCTCTGCCTATTCTCCTTAAAACTTCTGCATTCGTGACTTTATCTACCCATGGAATCCTTAACAATCTTTTAAATGTCTACATTTCAAACGCGTTGAGTCGATTTATTGTATTCCAGTTTAATATCCATGACTCAGCTCCATGATGTAGTACACTGTGTATATAGCATTTAATTAGCCTTATTCTGAGGGCCATGTCAGATCTTTACTGCATATAAATCTTTTTCATTTTTACGAAGTTGGCACATGACCCTTATTTTGCAGTATAATCGGTATTTTTCTGTGATTATCGTTCTCAAAGAGTATATCTTTTTTACTGTCTCAATCTGCTGGCCGCCTACCATCAATATTTCATTTGTATTGTTGTTCTGTATATTGCATATACAGAAACTATATAAATTTAGTCGATGAGGTACTAAATTATGCCGATATTTTAATCAATCAATATTTTAATCAGTTATAGAAAGGAAAACAATATAATTGCCGAACAGAACGATGTCTCACAGAAGTTGGCAAAGCTATGAAAAGCTTTCTTTATTATAATGATCCAAAATTATGATTAAATCGGGATCTTCCCCAGCAAATTATTAGACGTTTTGTAAAGCCTTTCGGCACCTTTAAAAAATCTGTTCTTTGATACTTTGGTACTAATCTAAACTTAAACTGAACTTAGTCTTTTCTTGATTTACTGATTGGCTGGAAACCGTTCTAGATCTAGGTAAGTGTGAAATTGTTGGAACTGCTAAAATAATAAAAATTGATATTATCAGTATAAAAAAGATATCTAGTAATTTGCTTTTAAACCATATTGAAACGAAGCTTAATGCTACTAGCTTTGGAGGTTATGGAGTGAATGGAAAAAATCTTCTATAAATGTCTTCTTCCTTTTATACCATCACTAATTTTTTTACATTAAAATTTATTAGAACAAGGTCTAATTTACAGTTTATATCACTGAGTTGCACAAAATGTTACTAGTTGCATTGTTGACCAAGTTTCAATATTTCCTTAAAGCACCTCATAAAATTAAAAGTAAGTAAAAATATCATTAAGTTCAAATTAAACAGAATCACACACTACACACCTACTATACACTCACAAAAAATAAAAATTCTACTCACAGAATTGCAAAAAAATACTAAATAAAAATCAAATACTGAAACCCAAAAATTAGAAGTAAAATATTAATAGCAATCAGTATCCAAAACCAATATACACATTATAATTTGTATATGCAGAGCTCGGATTTACAGGCAACAAACATTGAAGAAGAAGGCGTCTGTATAGGCAAAGTTTTTTTATTAAAAAAAGCAGAAATCTTAATATATAGGCAACATATAGGCAACATAGGCAAATAATCAATTATTTATTATACAAAGTGAATTACTTAATTCATCTTAACACAAATATACTTCTACAATATAACATTAGTAACATAATAAATTAACAACTAAATAATTGTTAATTAATAAACAAATATTGTACCCACTTAAAATTTTGTCATTATTAGTTAAAAATAAATGCTTTTCAATATTTTCGGTCTTAAAACTTTGTCTTCAAAATTAATTTGTAGGTACATTGAAAATAAACGTTCTATAGATGTAATTGGAGTGTATTTCAGGGCGGATAATAAACATGGATCAATTTGTAATTGCTTGGAAACGTCTCCTTCCTCTCTGAATGTCTCGTTACATGGCCAAAATATTGTAACTTTTGAATTTGTATTATTTTTGTTATTTCTGTGCTCTTTTTCATTCGGTGTAAAACTATTTTATTTGTTATTCGATCAATCTAACCGCAATATTCGTCGGTAAAATCCACATCTCAAAGTTATTTTTATTAGTGTTACTATACTTATTACTATAAGAGTCCAGCTCTATATGCCATACGGCAATTTAGAGAATATGCAGCAGCGTATTAATCTGATTTTAAGGTTTAATGTAATATCTATATTAATGAGAATTTTTTTAGTTTATAAAAGGCGGCTCTAGCTTTTTCAATGCGTATTCTTATTTCCTAGCTTATATCCCAGTTAACATTGGCGCCCAAATAGGTGATATTGGGTATTCTTTCTAACTTTATTCCATACTCTCTGATGTTTTATTGGTTGTAACTCTCTTTTGCTGACAACTAAGTTTGTCTTAGAAGTGTTAAGCTTTAGTTCATATTCAATAAACGTGTCAATCATATTGTTTATCTATCTATCTGTAGCCCAAAATCTAATCATGTGTTGAATATAGGCCTCTCCCATTTGTCTCTATTTGTCTCTGTCTTCTGTTTGTCTTTTTCACATTGGACCTGCGCTTTGCGCAATGCCATCTTTCCATCTCATTTGCCGTCGACCTATTGATCTTTTAGCAGTATATGGTCTCCAGTGTCTCCATTTTTTTATTCCATCTTCCATCTTGATATCTTTCATTATGCCCAGCCCATTTTCATTTTAATTTCAATGCATGTTCGACAGCGTCTGTTGTTTCGGTTTTGCATTATTATCCACTAGTTCCTCTTTTTATCTCTCAACGATATTCCCAACATTTGTCTTTCCATAGCTCTTTGAGTTTTCTTTATTCTATCTAAGTTGCTCTTGGTACACGTCCATGTCTGGGCACCATATGTCAGAACAGGTAGGATGCATGCATTGAATACATTCGTTCTTAATTTTAAAGGTATTTTTTGGTTTTTGATAGTATATGAGAGTTTTCCGAATGCAGCCCACCCCATTCTTATTCTTCTGGTTACTTCTTTAGTCTGGTTACTTTTGTCTACTCTGATAGCTTGTCCTAAGTAAATATATTCTTGGACGTGTTCTATGTTTGTTCCACATATGGTAATTACTGATTTGTCTTTTGTATTAGTCATTATTTTAGTTTTCTTTAGATTCATTTTTAGTCATTTCTCAAGAAATGTTTTTCTAGGTCTAAAATCATTAAAAAAAGAGGTTAATCTTTGTAAATGGGTATATTATTTAAAAAAAACCTTAAAAGGGCCACATCAATAAAACAAACGTTTTCGGACCACACAGTCATTCATCAGGTTTTTAAACATCGAAAAATGCCTAAAAATAAGTATAAAACCATTTAGTTAAAACAAACGAGATTGTGAAATTTTGACTATGGTTGAAAAGGCAAAAGATGGTTATACTTACTTGGTCACAATGCCTGAGCCACCAAATTACTAGGGGTAAAAACCCTTTAAATTACATTTAGTTATGAAAGAACTTAAATAAAGCAGTCTTAAATAAAGTCATTTAAATATGAGGTCTGATATTAGCTTCAAATATTTGTTATTTAATTTTTACCTTGTCCTAGATGTGTTAAACATAAAAGGATAAATTTCATATATATATATTATATATATATATATACTATATATTATATATATTATATACTATATATAAGCTAACCCAACATTATACACACTTTAGACCACATTCATACGACGAAAAGCAACATAAGTTGCCTAAGGCACAGGTCATTCTATTAATCATGATTATAAAACATCATTGACTTCACATCTTTTATACCTAAATTAATAAATAAAAAAGTTTTTAAATCCCAACACCTAGATTGTTGGTATTTTTAAATCATCAAACTTGTTGAATCTTTTGGCTGTAGTAATACTATGTACAACTATTTTGGTTTTTGTTGCATTGACATTCTGTTATCTTCATCCTTCAAAAGTATCTTGTCAATCAGTTTCCAGCTGTTCTCCGAGTGTTAGAGGTTCTCTCTCACCGGTCTGGAACCCGATTGAGCCATGTGTTACCTATAGTCAAATTTAATTTAATACTGAACATCACAGTTATTTTACAACACAATGTACAATCTTTCATAACTAAATGTAATTTAAAGGGTTTTTACCCTAGTATTTTGGTGGCTCAGGCATTGTGACCTAGTAAGTATAACCATCTTTTGCTTTTCAAACCATAGTCAAAATTTCACAATCTCGTTTGTTTTAACTAAATGGTTTATACTTATTTTTAGGCATTTTTCGATTTTAAAAACCTGATGATGGAGCTGTGTGGTCCGAAAAACGTTTGTTTTATTGATGTGGCCCTTTTAAGGGTTTTTTTTTAAATAAATATACCCATTTACAAAGATTAACCTCTTTTTGTTATACCGTGGTATACAGCCAGCTATAGGAATTTTTTCTTGTGGATTTTATTTTAAATCATTATTCGTAGTTGTTCCCTAGTTGTTGCTTTCATTAAGTACGATCATCGGCGAATCTTAGATGATTGAAATATTTCCATTTATACAAATCCCTTTATTGTCTCAGTCTATAGATTTAAAAATGTCTTCCAACGCCAGAGTAAATAGTTTAAGTGAGATTGTATCCCATTGTCTGACACCTCTACAAATTCTAATTCATGGAGTTTGCAAATCTCTGTCTAGCTAAATTCTCATAGTGGCGTTTTGATATGTATTGTGGATTAACAATTTCTGTACCGTGAAATCTATCGGCAATTAACTAGCGCTTCTTCCACTGCCATAGTTGTATGCTGTCAAACGCTTTTCATAGTCAACAATCGCTAGGTATGTTGAAAGGTTGTATTCGTTGGTTATTTCTATTAATATTTTAAGAGTGTGAATGTGGTCGGTTGTGCTGTACCCCTTTCTAAATCCTGACTGCTCAACTGGTTGGTATGCATCAAATTTGTGGTTTAGTCTATAATAATATAGTTTTAGCCAAAGTAAATTTTAACAAAGAGAACTAACTATATCGGTTCCTATATAAAAATGCATAATTTTCATTAATTCATTTAGAAAAATTGCCCAACAATGGACTGTCTATTCTGCACTCTTTCTCTTACTGATACTCAAAAAATTCCGCTGAAACTTTGCATCTCGGTAATATAACTTCTCTCATGTAACTTCTCTTCGGTCAATGTAATTAAAAATGCTTTAAATCATGAATGTGTTGCTTGTGTGAGTCCATTTCAAATAGGTAAAGAAATAATAAATAAGACTTACTCACAATCAATTGATTGTGAGTAAGTCTTATTTATTATATTTCTTTACCTATTTAAAAATGCTTTATTTCTATTGGTAATTCTCTGAGTTAAACATGCCTTTCTTGTTCTATTACTAAAGGTTTATAATAAAAGTGTGATTAGATCATCTAAATAATCGGTAAATAATACCAAATCAACTTACACTCTGATTTAATTTCTTCTATGTCTGTGCTTCTTAATGGTGTGTTTGAAATTGGTAATACATTCATGTAGCCTAAAATAACAAAAGATGTTACAAAAGGGTTAAAAAAATATTAAAGAAAATATTAAATTTATTAAAGAAAAATTAACCTTCTACATCACCTTGAGTTAGTACTAAATTTTTTAAAGAACTTAACTACTTACATTCATCCATTTTGATGTTGTCCTTTATTGGAGGTTCAGCTGAGGGACTCGTAGTTACTGAAAGAAATTTTTAAAATTGTAAATAGTAGTGTGTATTAGTATGAGCAAAATGAGGAGGGGGTCAATGAACCGAGGCCGGTCTAGACAAGATTTAATAGGGTTACTTAAAATAGGGTGGAGCGAATTAACCAATTAAGATTGTACACAATTTCGTGGTCAAAATGACTAATTATAACAATAATTAATTATAAATTACTCTAGAGTAATCTAAAATAGAGTGGGGTGATATAAGATATTACTGCATGCAAAATGAGGGTGGGTGATTTTAAATAGGGTAAAGCGAATTAAGATTGTACACAATATCGTGGTCAAAAATAATTCAGCAATTGCCAATTAAGCACTGGTCAATCTACCCACCCCGCAGAATAATATGATTAGTTTAATTAACTCCATTAAATATAAAAAGCCAGCCAGTTGAACACCCAACAATATTCAAATTAGACTAACCAATTGAGTAAATTGAAAAGGATAATAGTTTAATTAACGACAACGAATTATTTCTGGCACCCTCATTTGACATTATTTAAATTGGGTAAACGTTTGGGTAACATTAAAAGGCCATTAACTCAAATAACAAAAAAGAAATTATATTAATTTTGAATCAATAAATATATGATATGTATAAGAAGAAATGGAAAAAAATAAAAAAACCAAATATGAATATCGTCAGAACTTGATCCTAGATGCAGGAGAAACGATCAGTAAATATGAGGAATATAAATAGCCGGGTATAAAAAATCATAAATAATGAAACACTGGACGGAGTCAATAAAACAAAATATTCAGGGAAGGAAACCTTAAAAGTCTATAAAAACTAAAATGGAGACGTTTTTTAATTTTTATTTTACGGGTTGTGACAAATAAAATGTTTAGAGTAGTCTATAAACAATACTGATATTTTGGCGTTTGTTGATTACATTATGTAGTTATCAGTTGGATTTATATTCAGTTATGCACGTAATTTCAATATTTATAAGGATTGTTAAGGCAAAAAATGTTAATTTTATAATATCCTTTAAAATTGTTTAACAATTTAACAAACAACGGTAAAAAGCGAATATAGGACACCGTAGTTAAAAGTATAATTACATATGGGTGTGAAGTGTGGCAATTGAAAGAAAAAAACAAAACGAATGCTAGAAGCTACTGAAATGGATTTCTGGTAAAGATCTGTGGGAAGATCAAAACTGGAATGAGTGACAAATGAAAGAATAAGAGAAATAATGCAAGTCACACACACAATAGTTGATGAAATTAAAACCAAACAACTTGTCTGTTCAACGTTCAAAGAATGCGTGAGACCCGAATTCCACAAGAAGAAGAAGAAGACTCAGAAAAAGCTGATAGGAAGGAATAGACAAGGATATGGAAGAACACCCTGGAGACGAGTTGTGGAGAGACAGAGAAGCATGAAGAGATGGCATTAAAAGACGTAGAACGTTATAGGTTGATTATATAAAATTGTTTAAAATACAAACAACTTCATTTTATAACATTTTGCTTTTTATACATATATTTATTAAATAGAAATGAATTCAGCGTGTTATCTGCTATTCCATCGTTATAAAACCCTTAATTCTAAAACGGAAATATTGTCTGGTTTTTAAACCAAACAGATGGTACATGTAGTATTAACAAAAATTACATGGGGTGAATATAATTAACATTTTTCGAGCGCAATTGTAGAACCCACATATTTGCGGGTGAGGTTTTGGAGTTTTATCTATACAAGATATGTATAATACAGGGTGCCCGTATAAGCGATTCCCTATTCTAATTATGGTAAATATTTTGCAAATTTAGATCCACGATAAGTTGCCAACAAATATGTGAATTGGTAAATAACAAGTGTTATAGAATATGAGAAAACTCTTAATTATAATTAAAAGGTCATTAAAATTTAATTGAAATCTATATAGGGTAACTAGCACATTAGGGTTGTAACAATGTATAATCATATGCTATTAAGTGATTAATCTCGAGTTTTCGCTAAAAAATGTGCTAAAAGGGAGCAATTTTAATACTTTTAGATTGGTCTGCCCTTTCCACTTTTTCAAAAAGTTATAAAAAGCCGAGTACTGCAGATTAATTTAGTAAAATAATCCTTAGAAAGTGTCGGTATTACTATTATAAAAATGAAAGTAAAGTTTCCGGTTCCAGAAAGTTCAAAATCCAGCGCGAAGATTATTTCGCACTTTAAAAGTCACCAAAAGGAAAGATGTTTGCAGAAGTGTTAAACTCTTCTCTGGAGTTAATTGAGGGGGACATCCGTCATCACCAACCTATGAAATATAAAGAATTCGAAGAGCATGTCACAATATCTTCGACTCCAAACGAGAGCAAATATGAAAACATTTCATCGGAAAGCGAAGATGAAGGTGATACCTGTTTAGAAGAAAAAAAATAGAAAATATCATTCAAGAAGGGGACTTTGATGAAAGCATGGAAGAATGTGTATTGCCTGGTCAAAGTAATGCAGATAAAATAGACCTTAACACGACGACTAATTTTGATACAATCGACAAAAATGTGCAAAGCCAAGATGAGGAATATAATGTGCTTGTTAAAAACTTTGTTGGTGAAAATAAGCGTTTCTTGGAAAGCCAAGAAATTCATAGACAAGTATTAATTAAAAAAATCAGTGCGTATGAAAGGAAACGCGATAGAGCTCTACAGAGCTTAACTAGTGTCAACAAGAACATTGCAATCTGTAATCAAATTCTAACGTCTATTTACACATGCAAACCAGTGGAATAATGTTTAAAAGTGTAAAAATTTCATAAAATCATAATATAATCTGTTTCGGGGTGACAAATTGTGTTCAATGCAAGCAATCTAGTGTGCAAAGCTAGGATGAAGAATATAATGTGCTTATTAAAAACTTTGTTAGTGAAAAACAATCATTTTTGGATAGCCATGAAGTTCACTATAAAATAGTTTAAAAAACATTCAAACTTGTGCTATTGGAATATAATTTCATTTTTAATTGTTATATCTTGTTCTAAAGTGTTTGTCGAATGTTAAATTATATAAAATTAATAAATTAATACTATTAATTTTATATAGTCAAACAAAATATTCTAAAAATACAAAGTTTTACTTTTATTTTTAAAATATTAACACTGACAGTTTCTAAGGATTATTGTACTAAAATAAAAAATTTTATAACATTTTTGGTTTTTTATTTCATTTCCAAAATACGTAGGTAAAAATCAGTACAAAATTTTATATATAGGTACCTATATATATATATATATATATATATATATATATATATATATATATATATATAATATATATATAATTTCATGTTGGTTTATTTATTTAAAATAATGACTATTACCTCTAAAAGCAAAATATTATACTTTCTTTTTGCGATGTATAATAGATAAAAAAAAACATACTTTCTTAAAAATATGTATTCCAAAATAAATAATCACACACCTAACATATTATATATAATTTCATATTCGTTTATTTATTTAAAAGATATGACTATTTCCTCTAAAAGCAAAATATTATACTTTCTTTTTTGTGATGTTTAATAGATAAGAAAAAAAAACATACCTTTTTAAAAATATGTAATCCAAAATAAATCACACACCTTAAACACAAACATTGCACCAAGCTAATATCAAATAACATAAACACTTTAAGCGTCTATATTCTTAACTAGTAAATATATTCAAAATAATATCTTTCTCGGATCACAGATACACACACAAACTGACCGCGTTTGACCCACATACCTTAGGGAACTGCACGTCGAAAAGGCAGCGCCAGGTACCTCTTTTGTATTTTCGTTTCAAGTTCACTTAACCATTGACGGAGTTAAGTTTATTATAACCAAAAAATAAATTAAATAAATTTAAAAAATTATTTGCCGCTTTATTTATTAAAACTAAGAAAAAATATTTTGGATTCTTATTTCGCAAATACAGGTGTAGTCAAAACTTGAAAAAAAATGTTTACCTAATCATTTTAAATAAAGGTAGTAAACCCCATCTACAGAAATTTTGTTAAAACAATATATTCTCATATATTACTAATTTGAAAAAAAAATAACCAATTCAAAAATATATAATTCATTTTTTTAAAATTAAATACAAAAGTGCTAATTTTTTTACTAGCAGGTAAATAACATATTCCCACCGCTGTATTTATGAAAACTAATAAAAGATAAATATTATATATAAAAGAGCCTAAAAAAAAGACACAAAGTTTTTAAAATGGTGTATTTATTGTTATAGATTTGCAAACAATGCAGTATTTTGATAAGCAGTAAATGTATAAATTTTTATTACAAGTCGCACAAATACGTGCACTCAGATTATCCGCAGTTCCACTAGAATGTTCCGTTATATGATTCGTGTGAATATATGTTGGTACTCCCCTAAGAGTTTCAAAAAAACACGATGGACAAAGACTTTGATTGTGTATAATATAATAATGTTGAGTCAAACAAACTGGTTCTCTACATTCGTATGCCAAAAAGCGCACATTATTGACCTCATCCACTTGCATAATTTTGTTGTCCACTTCGGCGGAATCAGTATCTATCACTTCAATTTCATCCAAATCTGATAGATTTTCCGTAGATACCGAAAAAACAAAACTTTCATCCGTGGAGACATTGTCACTGTCTTCTAATTCAAGTATGGCATCCAAAGGGTTTATAACTTCTTCATCCATAGCTTGGTATTCGTTTTCTAACACCATTTTAATTCACAAAAAATACAAGTGTATCATTTTATATATTTTCAAGTAGTGGAGATAGGTGGGTTCTGTATGTATTGGAGGGGGGTGTTATAATTATCTGCTTCTCACATCTAAAATAGAGCTAAAGGGTGAACTATATCAACATTTTGGTGTCTAGAGACAACATTTGGTCAACAATGAATAATTAGAACCATGAAATAATTATAATTAATTAATTACTAAACAAGGGTCAATTAAATAAGCCCCTGAACATGTGGGTGTCTAGAAAACATCTGGTC